CATGTATGCACATGATTTATGACAATGGTGTCCCTGAAGAAAGTAAGGAAAAGAAGATCTTTCAAATAAATGATGCTGGGTCAACTGGATACTCATATGGAAAATAAATGAATCTCAACTCTTATCTCAAACCATACACAAAATATAAGACTAGGTATATTATAGATCTACATGAGAAAAGTGAACAATAAAGCTCCCAAAAGATAACATTAGAACATACCTTTATTACCTTAGGATGGGCAAAGGTTACTTAAACAAGATATAGTATATTTTAACCATAAACAAAAGACTTTTTAAATTGCATCCATCAAGATGAAGAACTTATATTCAGCAAAAGAGACTATGAAGAGAGTGAGACGGCAAGTCACAGAGTGGAGACATTATACAAACACACACACATATTTTGTGTAAAATATATGTATACATATATGTACATATGGTATTCTCTGGATACAAGCTTGCTGGAAAATATTTATACATACACAGAAAATATATAAATATAAATTCTATATATGCATGTATATATAAAATACAGATTTTCCCCACAATATACAAGGACTTACATAAATCAGTTTTACAAAGAGGTGGCCAACACATAGAGAATATCTTGTAAATGTTTTGAAAAATTCTGTAATGAATATTTTGTATGTAAAGGTACATTTAGTTACAATTTACCATTTTCCATATCTATGGCAACTTTAGCAGTGAGTTTGGGGGTATAGCAAAATCAATGAAATAAAAAAACAGTTCTTTGAAAAAGATAAATAAAATTGATGAACTGTCATTGCAAATGATATTAATAAAAAGAGAAGACACAAATTACTAACACAGTATCAAGAATGAAACAGGGGCTGTCACTAAAGATCATGCAGAATGCTATTCTCCTGATACCAAAACCAGACAAAAATAGTACAAAAAAGGTATAGAAAGTAAGGCAAGCAGACAGCCCTCAGAATGGGAGAAGATTTTCGCAGGTCATGTCTCCAACAAAGGTTTAATAACCAGAATCCATAGAGAACTTAAACGTATTAGCAAGAAGAAAACGAGTGATCCCATCTCAGGGTG